GGCGGTCCCGGTGCGCCCCTCATGGTTCCCTGCAGTGGGGAGCCGGGGTTGGTGCTGCTGCTCAGCGAGTGAGCCCTGACTGGTTTCAGCCTTCAAAACCCATTCATTTAGGTCAATATTGATTAAAAATTCGTATTTCTCTTCAAATTCCCTTCATTTAGGTCAATATTGATTTAAAATTCGCATTCCTCTTCAAAATCCATTCATTTGGGCCAGTATTAATTTGAAATTCAGACTCTTCTTCAGAATGTGTTCATTTGGGTCAGTATTAATTTAAAATTCATACTCCTAAACTCTTAAAATGGTCTTCTTGCAATGCTGGACATGATTAGGAAGTATTCCTTCCCCAAAGGGTGCTCAGGCATTGGAACAGGCTGCCCAGGGCAGTGCTGGAGTCACCGGCCCTGCAAGTGTTCACAGCCCGTGTAGGTGAGGCCCTCAGTGATGTGGTTTAATGTTATCCATGGCACTGCTGGGGAATGGTTGGACTTGATGATCTTAAAGCTCTTTTCCAACCTGGTTGATTCTATGATGCTCTAAATGCTTCTGATTAACAATAGAACCTCCTTCCCTGTGCCCCCACTCCATTTCAAAGCCAAGTTTCTGGTAAGAAAACATTGAATGCTCATATCCAGCACCTCCCCCTTTCACTTCTTTAACTGTGCTTCTGATTTCTCACAGTGAAATTAAATGGTGGCCGACACGTCCAAGGGATACTGCGGGGGTTTGATCCCTTCATGAACCTGGTCATTGATGAGTGTGTGGAGATGGCACCGGGCGGACAGCAGAACAACATTGGCATGGTGGTGAGTGCTGCAGCTGAGACCAGGCAAAGGGCACGCTCAGCCTGTAGCTGGTGTGTGTAAAACCACCTGGATTTCAACAGCACGGAATAATCCAGGAAGTCTTAGAGTTAAATCAGTCGGTGTTCATCTGTCGGGGAGGAAAATCCATGTGAATGCATCAGCTTTTGGGGATCATAAATGGGACGGAGGGTTCTAAGCAGTGGGTGTTGGTGTGCTGCATCTCACCAGCTGCTCTGAACCTTTGCTCTTAGGTAATAAGAGGTAACAGCATCATCATGCTGGAAGCACTGGAACGAGTATAGCACCAGGGAAACCCTCGTTGTTACCAGCTGTAACCAGTCCTGACCCACCTGATTTGTTTACTCCCTGAAGCATAAACTTATTTTTGGTTTGTTAAATAAATTTTGTAATGGTTGACATAAATTAAGTTGTACTTTATGTTTGGGGGGGTGTAATGGGGCAGCTGAAGCGTTGTTGGCTCTTGGGATGGATGTTAATCCTACTTTAAAACACAGGGAAAGCTCTCAGGAGGTGGGATTTATTGAAGCAGGTGTGAAATTGGTGCTACTTTTAGTGTCCTTCCCCTTCCTGTCTCAGAAAGAACAAGCTACAGCACTGTGTCATGTATGTTCAGGGAGTTATTTGGTTCTCCATGAAGAGTGATGTGGTGTATTTGTGCCAGACTGGGCACAAATTCTCTTTAAATCATGATTTTTACTCTTCTGCACCATGGATTTGTGGTGCAGGAACCAAAGCCTGCAGGAGCTGACTGGGACTGAAGAAACCCTTTGGGTTTTTCCCCCAAATGGGTCCAAATTAAGTCTTTTGGGTTTGTTTTTTGTGAGCAAAGGTGCTACCACATACAGGTCCTTACAGGCAGTAATCATCTTTTTTTTTTTTACCACTGTGTTTTTAATTCAATTCAAGTTTAATACAAGGTGCCAAGTGCTTTCTCCAGACACAGTTGAGGTATGGCAGCATTATTAGAGGCAGTTACGGGACACAGACTCTTCTCATCTAAATTATTCATGCTTTTAAACCTTAATAAAGCAAAGGACAGGGGTGGTTTTGGCTATTTCCAACCCATTTTAGCAATTCACACCCTCCCAGTAGACCGATACCCCAAACAAACCTATAAGCTCCAGTACTGGTTCTGGAAGCAAATGAAGAATACAGCCCTGGTTTCCATCACACTGATAGGAATAACAACTTGATAAACCCTTCACAAAATAGCTGGAGAGATTTACAGTCAAGAAGTTGACATTCTGTCCCTGAAACACTCTGAGAGGGAAGGTGATGTGCCTTCATCGCAGTAATCACAGTGATGCAGATCCTGAGTTTGGTGGACTTCTTCTTATGGAGGGTGTTTTGGGGTCAATATGGTATTTAAAACTACTTCTTTCATCTCACACAGGGATAGATGGAGGAATTTTCTCAACAAAAGGCCAGAAATCTTCCTCTGTCATTCTAGTCCATCTTGAGTTGGCTGCACATCCCCTCTTAGGGGCTAAGCAGAGAGTTCCTCCTTCATGAGTTAACTGTGGTTAAACAGCTACCGCACACAATCCGTAGCTCCGGATGCCTCCAGCCATTGGCTCTGTGTGGCTCAAAGCTCCGTTTTCAGCCTCTCATGCAAATCCTCCTGGTCGATCCTGTCGGTGTTGCCGTACCACCGGTGGTAAGCCAGCAGGGCGGCGTTTTTGGCAGCGATGGCGCTCATCTCCATGGCGCTGGCCGCTCGCTCGATGCCGTTCAGGTAGTAGATGTTGTCATGGAGGATGACAGGAGGGCACTTCTCAGGGGGGCTGTAGTGGGGATAGGCCAACCACGTCTTCACCTTGACAGAGTCGTAGGAGGAGAAGAGCAGGTTAAGCTGCTCTTTGGTGAGCACCTCCTTGGAAAACACCTTCCAGACAGCTGATTGCAAGGACGGCTTTCCTTCACCACCTCCATCCTCCACGGGAGACACCACCCCCAGGCTATTGATGAACAGTTTGGGATTCTCCATAGTGAAGATGGCACCAAAATTAAAAGCCTCGGGGTCCCGGTAACCGAAGAAAGAGGCGTTTAATCGTCCGTGCACAAACGTTGCCACAGTCTTGTGGTAAGGGTTTGGGAACTCGGGGACAGGAGGGTCGAAGTTCTTGAAGGTGATGTTGGCCATTTTGCGGCTGAGCGGAGCAGCGATGACAACGATGTCGTACGTGTCCCCTGTCAGTCCTGATGCAGTGTCATATGTCACCTGGTAGAGCTTTACAGGGTCCCCTGGGGGAGAAAAGCTCTGTTAGCTCACTCCATGGCAGGAGGGAATCCCGTTTGTCCCATTGTTCCTTTAAAATGCCATCACATTGAGGCTAATGATGCCTTGTTGCAGGCTGAAGTAGCTTTATAGACTACCCCCAGCTTAGCTGTGGGAGTGTGGCGAGACGGGAGTTTGAGCAAAGCCCTAATTTAATCTTAAAATAACCCCAAAAAAGACCCAATCTGTTGTTTTCGTCTGTCAAGAGCAGTGATGGAGGCCAATGCCGGTCTCCAGCTCTGGAATGAGCCATTTTCCCCCCTTCCAAAGGGAAAGCAAACCCAACTCACCTGTACGCCTGGGTCTGACTTTTGGCTCTATAGATAAAACTGTACCAGAGATAACTTCAGCTTTGGAAGCATAGAGAAGGCCAGTGCAGACAAGTTTGTTCCCACCTTTTACTGACCAAAGGCCTGATTCCACCCCTGCCAGAGAAACAGCACCTACAAGGAAACCACAATCATTGGAGCGATTCATCTGATGTAGTTTTGTGGAGGGAGCACTTGAAACCGTGGAAAATGAGGGGGGGAAACATCTTTTCGGGGCACAGAGGTTGCTGAAGGCCAGGGCTAAGCAGGTTGGCAGCACTTCATTGGAGTGAAGAAGTACCCCAGCTTGGGGAGCTGGAATCCCACACCCATGAAGAGCACCAGGACCCCAGGACTGGGATGCGGGGTGGGATTCCAGCCACATTGGAAGCTTAACCTATGAAACACTCACCTACAAAACCATTGATGTTGACACCTTGCCCATAATTGACTCTCATGGCTGGACAAACCACCTCATTTATGAATTTATGGGAGAAGCCAGCTTTCTGCATGGCTTCGTCGATGGTTTGGTTCAGCATCTGGATGAAGTCGTTCCCTCCCAGGGCATGGAGCAGGCGCTCGTTGCTGCTGAAGGCATAGTCATGCATCTGGTAGCGATAGATCCTTTAATCAGAGACAAGAAATTAGTGTTCAGTTGCTGTTAATTACCTTTGTTGCCCTCAGAAGCTGTGGAGGATCTCAGTCAGTGCAGCTCCTGAGAGCCTGACAGCCCTTCATGGAACAGCAGGGCTTGCCCTTCCAGCCAAGCCTTAGCCTAAGTGGTACAGGCCTAATTAGACCTGGACCTTCATTATTCATTTACTGATCTTTCCTAACAAAATCACTTTGTGCACAGTTAGGAATTTCATTCTCTTTAGCACGCAGGTGCCAGAGCCTTGGCACATCCCACTCCCAACGCACGTTCCCACCTCTTGTTATTGCTGTTTGAAAATGAAACCACTTAACTTGACATTTTCCCTTAGGAAACTGATTGATGATGGAGAAAGGGCACCCGAGGCTCCTTTCTCAGCAGTGATGGGATGGTTTCACCAATTTTTACAGCTCAGCAGCAGGTTTCACCCTTTTCCTGCAGCCTTTTTCCCTAGCAGGGGCCAGACCTACCGCATGAACTTGTCCAGGATGTCCTCCACCCACATGTACATCCTTAGGGGGTTGAGCCCGTAGTGCCAGAGGAGCTTGAAGAGGTTGACGATGTACCAGTTGCTCTCCTCGAACACGAACTCCTCCCCATTATAAACACCTGCGAGGCTGCTGTGTCCTGGGGCAACCGAGAGGCCTCGGGGAGAAAAGGTCATTTAATGAGAGGTAGAGCTGGAATGGTTTGTGTTGGAAGGGACCTTAAAGCTCATCCAGTCCCAACCGCCTGCCCCGGGCAGGGACACCTTCCACTAGAGCAGGTTGCTCCAAGCTCCTGTGTCCAACCTGGCCTTGAACACTGCCAGGATGGTGTGAAGCTAAACTGTATTACACCTTGATTTTGGCAGCCTAGCTTTGTGTTGATAAGGGTGAGCAATTGAAGACTGGATCCCCGAAAAAGGGGAATTTGTTCTTGACCAGGAGCCAAGTAGTTACTTGCAGTGACTTTTGGACCTTTATGATGGGATTAATGCATTGCCATGGGGGAGGTGTACCGTTTCCATTGGGATACGGGTCTCCTTTTCCTTGGGCGGAGGCTGGGGAAAAGGCTACGAGGGGGTATTGGAGAAGGGGTATTAGGGAAA